GGGTAAACGCCACACATTTATTTCAGTTCCAATGTCCTCCTTTGATAATAAAAGAGAAGTTGCAGAGGGTTTCAATACTATTGACTTCCCTTTCAGCCTACAGGAATCCCACTGAAAGCCCCAGTTAGGCCACACGGCAGATGTATTAATGTGGGACAGAATCCATTGTGGGGAAGAAGTTTGCTTCCTCTCGCTTCTCTCTTGTCAGCAGAAAATCTACCACGACAGTAAAGAATACGACCGTTACTTGTTTATGATGTTGGAGCAGGGAGGACTCTTCTTCAGTTGTCATTCCAGACACGTAGCGGTTCCTTTTAATTTGCCATGTTATGCTGCTATAAATTTGCCCCAACATCATCCTAATGCCAACAAGGAGAGAAGGGGTTTGGGCAAATCACTTTTTTAAATCTAATCTATTCTTGTTGTTGTTTGCCATCCACCGTCCTTCTGGAACTAACTTAAATAAGACTTGATTTAAAATATGCATATATTCCTCCCACAATACAGTCTGAAAAGTATTTGTGGACATAATAGATGTCCTAAGGCCAGAAACCAGAGAATCAAGATCGTGTCCGTACGATGGTGTCTTAGTGTTCCGGCGCTAACAGATGTCACTCGATAGATCCAGGGAAAGCTTTGTCTCAACCTTAACAAAATAAACAATGTATTGATGTAAACTGTAAATGAACTGCAGCCGTACTGTAAAGTACAACATGTTCTCAGACAGAAACATCATCCTTATGCTGCAGGAACTGGCACCAGATGGGCACGTTTCTCATCACCACCATTCTCTTCTGTGGCACCAGTACGGCTTTTCAGATTCCTCTCTTTGTTTGTCTGTATGCCGTTAGAAATGTGCTTCATCGGCAAGAGGAAAATGTACGAGTGTCTTCGTGGACGCCTCCCCATTGAGGAGCCTCCCCCCTCCCTCCCATGGGAGGCATCCATGCGGAAGACACAGCAGTTAGTGGCATATGCGAACAACTGGGCAACGGTACAAAAAGAGTTGAAATGTTCATTTGTGCAAGTCAAACAGCCGTCCTGCGTTACATTGCTGGTGTTTCCCTTCAACAGACAGATCTGGTATTTTCAAATTGGGTCAAAGAATTTCTGCTTGATAACAGATGGCGTCTGCTCTCCAGTATCAATAAACAAACAAGTTCATTAGAAATAAACACAGCAGCTGCATAATTGTGTCAATATATCTGTTGGTCAGATTGTGTGGAGATATTTGAGCAAAATGTATTATTTGGACCCACATACGGGCGCACACACACACACACACTGACACACACATTACAGTCCCAGAAGTGGTTTAATAGAAGAATTCAGTCTTCAATCAATAATTAAATTTTGCCTTACATTCTAACTCCACTTGGGTTTTAGTAGCCTTTTCCAGCATGCATTTGGCACACGGCACTGAAACACCCTGAAACGGTTGTCAGTCCGTCTCTTGGATGAGAGAAACAGACACTCATACACACATATCTGTAGAGGTGTGTCTACGTAAGGCACGAGTGTCGCGCAACTTGCTTTTTGGAGGGGAGAACATACAAAGGTAATATTCTAGAGAAAAAAAGCTTTAAATTGTGTAAAGGAGAAATGAGAGTGGTATTCCATTAGGCCACCCTCTAACAGGGATCTTTTTTTTTTTTTTACATTCGTACAACTTGTAACTCTCGTCTATCGCTCTTTCCTACCCCTGGGGAAGCATTGTGAGTGCCTAAACATAACCATATATTATCATGCATAATTTCTAATAGTGCATTTTGTATTGCAAGAGCGCAGATTGCACTGCAGGGACGACTAATGACATACATTGTGAGTAGAACACTTTACTGATATGCTCAGTTTTCCCATTTTGAGAAATTGCAGATACACTCATTAACATAATTTCATCGTTGAGATTGATAGAAAAGCCATTTGGAGTAATATCGCATTTCTTACCTTTTTAGGTGCAATATTAAAATTGAAGGCGACAGTATTGCAAAGAGGGACATTATGGGAGTGCTCACTTGGTACTTTACCTCCAAAGAATGGTGTTCAATGTACCTGAACTGTTGGCTTACAACCTGATTATCTAACTGCTTGTGTTTTCCCCTCATCTTTTGTAATGTCCCCCTGTTCCCAGAAACCGCAGTCACATTGGTGGTTAGAGTATAATCATAACTGGGAGACAAAATGGTCAAATTACAGCGCTCTAGCAAGTTGTAATAAACTGAGAATGTCCTTTAAATAACTTGGACCATCTTAAAGAATACGGATGAAGGAACAAAAACTCTAACTGACCCAGAACATCTGAGAAAATGCTACAAACCGTTGAGCGGCAGCTGTGGGATATCAAGCAAATTGCATTGATATCTCGACAGGCTAGTTCCTGTGTTCATGTACAGGGAAAAGGCTCAAGAACAAAGACATCAAAGAGATATTAGTAAATCCATGGATTCGCCAATGAGCAGCTTTATATTTTTTCAGCGACGCGGCCAGTTTATTACAGTGGCAAATTGTCCTAAACTACTCCCACTGTGATTTTAAAATGCTTTTCTTTCATCTAGACAATGAAGGAGGTGCAAAATAAGTGTTGCCATCTACAACGAAGGTGCGTTTCTTTTCTTTTCTTTAATGGCATGGGTACAGCCGAGTAGAGGATGCACCTTGCTGTTCATCTCCTGCATGCAAGTACGGGCTGTCTGGGCGACGGCCATTATGGTTCCTGCTGCTGCCGATGCGTCTGCTCCGCCGGGATCACTGAAGTGTTGGAACTAACAAGCTTGGGATGCAGACAGCGGATGCACAAATGGGATTTTGTCCTGAAAAGCTTTAGAGCTTGCTTCCTGTCTTCGGCAGAAACAGGAGAGAGGACGAGGGCTGTTTGCAGGGACTGTCTAAGTTATGCGCCACCAGAATGAGATGATTACATCTGATAAGCTTGCTAATGATCTACACTGGGGGAGGAGAGCGCATAAAAATGAATGAGCCACACCGATGTACACTTCTCAGTCTTACCCTCTCATCTTCTCGTATTCTCGTATTCTCTCTAACTGTGGTTGAGATTCTCATGCAGAGCCTGAGATGTTCTCCACCCAGGAACACGCCGTAGTCTTTGTCATAGTTTGACGCGTACTGAGACACATCAAAACTCTCCTCCCCCAGATAATTATTTACCTATCAACACAGGGCTCTTTCTTTCACTCTCTCCCTCACACACAAAAACACAAACATGCAGAAATCCACCCAATGCTCTCCCGGCCCAAGGTTAGTACTGATTTAAAGACGTGTCTTTGACGAAAGAGGCTCCTCCTCCCTTCCAGGCCTGTCAAAGGGTGTTTGGGAACAACCCACTTCATCTTAGCACCATAATGGGTAAACAGAGTGTGATCAGTCCAATTACCCCCTCATTGCAGAGGCGTTCTGGCGGGAATGGCCTGTAGAGAGAGGGAGCTGTCTGGCACGCGGCGAAGTTACAACAGTAGCACCTGCTGCCCGCAGCCCTCACTTGTATGAATCTCAATTTGTTTGTACAGCCGTGCCAAAAAAAAACAGTGACCAAAAAGTGATCCTTCCGAGGAGGATGGCAGCACTGGGCTAGTGTTCTGAATGCTGTTTTTACTGCACTGTCTAAGGACATGTGCAAGATGAGAAGGTGCTGTTCTCAGCAATGAACTAATGTCAATTTCATTTCTTGCACTGGGTTGTTCTGTGCTCATTTCTGGCTGTGCAGCGTTCAAGGACGGGGGAATATTCTTATCCCCCACACTTCAGCATTTTTTACAGCTCAGTAAATGCGGGATTTTGCAGCCGGCGGTTCCTCCACAGTAAAGTAAATAGCGGCAGTCCTAAAGCAGGAATTCTCAAAACACATGCGATATGGTTTCACCAGTTTTCAGACAGTGTGTTCGCTATGCAATGGAGAGGACAGTTGGTCGCACAGCAACGCCTCTTCACTTTAGTTTCTCCCACGAATGACAGTCAGGACTACATGGCATATTAGCAGAAGTGTGGAAGTCTGTGCGTAGTATGTTCAGGTCTTGGATTGGTTTTAGCTTGACAGAAAGGAGTATATTGCTCCTGTAATACACGTAACATCCGCCCCCATATTACAGGGACATACAGTACCAGTCAAAGGTTTGGACACACTTTCTCGTTCAATTGAATGGTTGCATTCTATGTGCTGTTCTTTGAATTCTAATGTGGGTTTGTCGTCCATGAAAAAGAAGGACATCCTCCACTTGAAAATAATAATCTGCTTTTGTGCAGCTGAAACAAACATATCTGCAGTATGTTTCAAGGGGAAATATAAAGGGGGAAAAAACGTCTTACGTATAATTTACTGTAACAACTGAAAAAGGGGCCCTATCAGCAGGAAATAGGAATTGCATTTCAGAATTTGTTTGGCTCCACTAATTGAAACTAATACATTTCAAGTAGCATATTGATTCAGAGAAAGCTGTTTTTTTTAAATGTGCACAGTGTATAAATTAATAAATAATGCAAAATGTGAAGGTGCCATGATTAAAACAGCGTTGTTGAAAGCTTGCTGTTGCCTGTGTGCCACCAAAAAGTCATGAAGATCACAGCAAATATATCACAGTCTGACTTCAAAGGTCTCCTTGTTTCATGGGCTGTTGTGCAGTAGAGGGCCTGAGGTGAATCCTATTAGTGGCCTAATTAAAAAAAAAGCTTAGAGTGTCACCAGAAATACCCACAGTGGAGAAAATCTTGAACATCTGCAGCTATGCACATACAATTACATCGGATCACTTCTTGATCTTTGGCAGGAAGTCCAAGTGAATTTGCGCAAAATGCACTCGGCACGCGCTTGCACACAGTTGACAGGTGGTGATTGATGTGAAGTAGGCATACATTTTGTTTTTCCGTCGTTTCAGATGCAAAGACAAATTGCCACAGCGTGAACACTCCTCTATTCTGCAGAGCACGAATGACTTCTCCTGTCAATAACGTGCTGTTTTGGATAACTTTCATACTTAAAAATAGCCTCCAAAACAGTGCAGAGTAAAAGCTGTGGCATCCCAGGAGAAAAAAATAAAATCATAAAATAAAAAAAAATTCAAAAAAAGGATGTCAAAGCCTTTTCTCCCCAAATATCCTGATGGGCAATAAGCTCGGATCGTTTTCTGCAGTCACTCTGTCGGCGCGCTCGCCTGATGCGCAGCGCCTCCCCAACTGGTCCCTCACTTTGACAAATTCCTGGACGCGAGCTTATCTGCGGAATGGTGTCTTCCTCGTAAAGATGATACCCGGGATGTTTTAGAAGTTTCTTGACCTCTTTTCACTTTGAAAGAACACAATGGGACTGAGGTCATTTGTGAGGTTTTCCCTCCTGGCTTTCGCGTGGCTCGACTCCTTTCACCCCAAGTTTGTGGCTCAAGCGGGAGTAAGTTCTCCGAGATCAAATTATACATTTTATCGCCTGGATGTGACTGAGCTGGAGGAACTTACGGCCCGAAAATCAACGGAGGTTAAAGTCGACAATAGCGCGAAAGTTTCCATTTCTTCTGCATCGGGAGCAGCCGTTCCTTTGAAACCGAACACTCGCAAGAAAGTAGAGAGCGAAAAACTGAGAGGAAACGATGCGCTGACCGGCATCAAAACGGCACCAAACTGTCACAATCGCCTCAAAATGCCAGGTAAAAAGAATGATAAGACACCCGAGGGCGACCAAGGGCGACCCGCCACGAATGTAATGTCAGCAAATGCATTTTCTGAGATAAAAAAGAGGGCAAAAAGGAACGTGCGTGCAACATATACGGACAACGTGGATAGGAGTTCCAGTGGAGACGCTCGGTCAAAAGAGCGCCTGGTGGAGACGGTCCAAGGTGTTTCCAACTCCAGACCCGAGTACCGGCGCACGGGGGAGGAAAGCAGAGGGTCCAACCCGAGGCAAAGTGAACCGCACCTGGACACTTCTACTTTTGCTCTGTCGGGAGACTCTGCGCACAACCAGGCGATGGTGCACTGGTCCGGACACAACAGCAGCGTGAGTTTCAGTTCGACCAAATAAACACGTGTTTAAATATCATCGCGACGGTTTTAGACAGCCCGCTATTTTCCAATACACTTGTTACGATGCAAATATTCCTATTTCTCCGGAACTTCAATTCTGTATATTTTGTTTAACGAGATGAGAGCACCAGGGTCGTTTCTACCTGCAAACTCATTTAATTCTAACGTACACGTACAAGTGAGAATGAGCGGTACGTGTTCTCGCTTCACATGCATGGTCATGCTTCTTTATCAGTGCGCGCGTATTGCGCGCCTGATGGACATCAGTGTTCACCTGCAGGATTCCCTCTGGCTTTTCCAAAACCGCGTGAATCTTTTTTTTTTTTTTAACAAAGTGTTTGTGCCCTCAACCTAAAATGAACAGTTAAACGCGCAGGTTCATTTCTGTGAAGCAATCCCAATACATTCATTATTTATGAAATATTTAAAGTATTGTCTCTCAGGAAGGTGCAATCGCTACTAATAAGGATTGTGTCCAGCAAACTAATGTGACACTGATGAGACTATAACCTTCTTTTAAATCCACCAGGTTTTTGTCGTTGATATTTGTCTCACAATTGTTGGTATAGTTGTCTAATTGCCTGGATGAACGCTGCATTGTAATATTTGTGGTTCAAAAGTTGCCGAGCTTTGCGCTTCAAAACAGGTTGATGGAACTATGCATTGCCTTAATGAATGACAAGACATTGCAGCAACCACCCAGATCACCCCCTATGCTTACACACACACACACACACACACACACACACACACACACACACACACACACACACACACACACACACCAGTTTACCACCACTAAGACAAAACAAGGAAGATTTTATCTCATGCTGCATGCAAAAGTGTTCGCAAGCTCCAGCATTTATCAGGTACAAGGATCTTACACACAGGCTTAGACTAAACAATGGGGCTACTTTGTCTTTTTTACTGCAGGTAATTTAGATCAACTCAGTTTGTTGGGGGAAAGGGTGTGTGCCAGGAACATTAATCAGAAGATTTGTGTGTTCCAGAAACGCTCTTAATATCCATACAATATCCAACTCTGCAGAAAATTTTAAAAGGCTGGCTTTTTTAACCACTACACATTTCAATTTTTGTTTGGTAACATATTTCATTACGTCGAAGGCGTTGCAGACTCTACCCAAATTGATATATTGCTACGGACAGTCTCCGTTGAAATGAACCAGAAATGCAATCTGATTTGTGAGCTGTATTGTGAAATATTGGTGGTTTGAGATGTCTTCAGCAACAATGGCCTTTTATACTGCAGGACACTGTTCACTGGATCATCACTGATGAGCTTGTCACTGCAGCCAGTCAACATGTGAGATTTATACAGTCTGGACGCCTGTCTGGGGCTCAAAAAGTACGAGTGGAACTGCCGGGTTTAAATTGATGGCATTTTATGACTGGGTGTTAGAGCTCAGACTATAATAGATGTAAATGACTGATAATAAATCCAATCTAAAAGGAACATTTGAAGGAAAATTACTTCATTCCCGTGGTCTTGGGTAGCTCAATCAAATATTCAATCCAAGACTTTGCCTGTGATCTGGCCAAGATGTAAAGTCCCACAGGGAGTGAAATGAGAAAGATGTAGCAGGTGATGGTGAATGCGTGGGGTGGAGGGATGGAGGGGGGGGGGGGGGGGGGGGGTAAAGCATTTGATAAAAAATTCATCTTCTAAAACCTCAAATCTGTCCACAGATCAGCCCAACCATCTTTTATTTGATTTCTGTGATTGTGCGAGACATCAAAGCCTGGAGTCATAGCTCTACGGCAGGGGGGGGGGGGCGGGCAAGAGGTTGATCACGATCGGCCGGTCGATCGCCGTGGGAGTACCAACAGATCGCCCGCCATTGATAAAATCATCACGTCACGCATGCGCAGTCGACTGCGGGAGCCAACGGAAGCTAATGCTAATCAGCGATCCTTGCTTACTAACGGGCCCATTTAGTTTGATTTAAAAGCGACCGTGGCTGACTCCAATCAGTGCATCGAGGAAGTTAATGACCAAGAGTGTATGACCGATGAGAGGCTCGTTTTTTTTCTTCGTATGGGTGTGTTTTTGTGCTCGGGGCTTGCAGCGCTGTTGTTCCATGTGATTACCGCTACTACCCGTTTGCATGATTACCTGTCCCCCCCCCGCTGTGGGTCGTTCCTCGGAGGGTGGGGATGGGTGGGGCGGTAGATCGCCATGACTACGGTCAGTTAAAAAGTAGCTCGCTAGCAAGACAAAAGTGGGAATTCCTGCTTTACGGTCTCTGACTTTACCTGAGATAACGTTGATTGGAATTGACCGTGGGGATAAAACACACACTCCACAAGTCCCCTGTTTTAATGCGTGCGTCATAACATAACATAACAGCCTCTAATATTTACTGACGGGAGGTTTCTTACTTACCTGAATGTGCATGGGGATGGAGAGATGAAGATTCATGATTTCAGGAATCAGAAATCTTTGCAATGCCGTGTGCCAGAAATATAAGCACAAGGTGAGATCAAACTAATTAAACTATGGATAAATAAACTTGGCTTGGGATGCTCTATATGGTAAATCAATATGTCAGTATTTTTGCCTTACACGAGTGTTCAAGCTGTAACACGATGTTGGTTATCTTTCTCAGCAGCCCTCGCAGCACATCCTACAGTCGAGGCATGCGTACCTCCCCCCTGCCCCCCTCCTAAAGGCAAAAGTCTTAGTGGGGCCAGTCAGCTGGTGATCAGTGAGTTATTGGCAGCTAAATGATTTTCGGCTCCTGATTGACCATTTTTACAAGCTCCTCACTGACAGCCGACCAAACTAGGCGCCGTTGTTAAGAAGAGTTAATGAGCGACTTTATCGACATCGCCTCCCTTGAGCTTCTCTTTTTGAAAGCATACTGTATGCTGGTGTAGATAAGGTCCACCTATAATGAGAATGAGGGTCTGAGGAGGTGAACATCGATGATGCCAGCTGTTGTTCTTCTGTTAGTGGTCAATCTCATTCTTAATTGGCAATGTCGGGTCTGAAGTAGTAGTAAGAGTCAAATCTATCTGGCACCTCTATAAAATCTTTTTGTCTGTTTCTGCTGTGACTGGATGGGAATCACACAGGCCCCTTGGGCCCTGTTGTCCCCGTGCTTAATCAGAACGAAGCGGTTATTGTTGCACATAATCTCAACGGTATAAATAGACAATATAAAAAAAGGAAATGGCACGGCCCAAGGGCACACTTGTGTTTAAAACCGGTTCATTAGATAGACAGCCATTCCATTTAACATGCCAGAGCTGGTTCCATAGAAACTCCTTGATCCATAAAATCAGTTGGAATGGGTTCCCAATTCACACAGGCATTTGACCCCAGTTTGTGGGTCCTACAGGATGATGAAAAGCTTTAAAAAGATAAATCTGAGGTCTGATAATTTTTCATGTTTTTCTATTACACACACACAACCCTATTTTCATGGTTTTAAAGTTATAATTTTTGGGTAAAAATCCCTTTTTAATTGAAAAAAAAGGCACACAAGGTTCAGTCAAAGTGGGGCTCAGCATTTAGACCTTTTTTGTGTAATGTGGTTGGTCAGTCAAGGCTCTGATTCATTTGACTAGATACAGATTTTAAAGTGGTTTCGGATGGAAGAAAAAATAAGACAATGTTCTTTTTTTTCTACTAGCCATTTTCGTCCTCCACCTGCTTGCCCCTCGGGATGTCGGCACAATGAGCCCGTTCAATAATCCAGCCCGTCTCGAGCCTTTAGGGGTGCACTGTCCACTGATGTGATTGTAAGACGCTGATAGAATGTAAGAGGCAGATTGCTGGTTACAGCAGGAAAAAACAATTTCGCATAAGCGTGAGTGATACATTTGAGAAAAATTTGTTGAGAGAAATACAAAATGTTTTTATGCCTTAGTGTTATTTTATGGTACATGGGATACAATTTCCCCTCTCTCTCTGTTGAAATAATTTGGTGAGAAATACAAGGTTTTACTCTTCAAATGACATGCATTTGTGCCCCTTTTTTCATGAATCATTTGTGCTTTGGGGACCGTGATGCATCACATTAACATGGGCGCTCAGCACTTCCTCAGCACTTAGACTGTACTTTTGACTCTCAAAGTGCATTTTAAACAGCAAATGTAAAGGCTGCCACCAGTTCATGTCCAAGCGCAGCGTTGTAGCATGATTTCACAATGATCTGTCTCAGCCTCTCTCCCTCTGCTTAACACACACAACACACACTTATTACAGTTTTAATCAAAGTGACAAAGCGGGTGCCGAATTATATTTGACAGTTTTGCATGTGATTAATTACTTTAATACTTGTTGCAGTGTGGCAGACACATACTTTAGCTGTGATTAGGTTATGAAAACAAATTTATGCATTTTCTGATTGGGAGAAATCACAAATTTCAATTTCAAATTGGGTGATGACCTCTTTATTAATCATCACAGAGATAGAGTCAACTCTAAACGAGGCAATTAATGGAAACTGTTTTCTTTATGGTAAAAGGACCTGACTAATTTTGTCCTGTTCTTTAGTATTCTTGCTACTTTTGTAAGGTGAAATAAGTTGCGTGACATTAAAACCTGAGACTTGCAGAACATTGAAGCGGTATTTGGTCTCGAAGAACGACATTTACTGATGCATTTACACATTACAAGGATAGCTCGGAGACAGTTTTATCCTGTTTAGCGGGATAGATAAGATAAAGCCCCACACACACATTCACTGGGCAATCAATAGAGATGATAGAAACATTTTAAACAGAAAATGATACATTTACAAAATGGCACACTCGACCAATTGGTATCTTGATACGAATTCTCTGAAATCAGTGGTTCTTTCTGCCTTGAACAAAACGAGAAGAAGGTGGATGAAATTATGTCAACAATTCTGAACATATGACAAAATACCCACCTGCAGAGGAAAGATTGCAGAAATTCTGCATAATTTCACCAAGTCAATGATTGTATTGTAGCAGATGTGAATG